TGTGCTTCTTATGTAAACTTTTGCACTAAAGCAATTGGGAATTAGTCGTAACAGAAAAAGAGCCCAGGTGAATTGGACCAAAGCCAGCATACTGCTTTCCATGCCCAGCAAGATACCAATTTGAAATGCCATATACTTGGGAAACACTTTTGACCTTTTCATTACAAAATTCCCACTGCAGAATGAAGTCATATGTGTGAGAGTACCTTTCTGACTATATATAATATAGTGTGGAATGCGGCTACTGGGCTCCTCAAAGGATCATCCTACAATGCAGTACCTCTTTTGTGGTTGCCAACATGCTACCTAATCCAGTTGAAGGTTTTACTTCTGGCTTTTAAGATTATTTGAAATAATGCCTTCTTTCCTATGAACCTGCTCATTTATTAAGATCTTTGATGGTTCCATGGCCTGCTTTGGTCTATCTAGCAATAACCACATTCTTAAAATGGCACCTATAGTATGGAACAGTCTCCTCCCAGCAGAGAGCCTCTAAGCATCTTCAGTGATGTATTTTTGCAGGGAATTAAAAACCTTTTTTCGTTCTCCCAAGTCTTTACTGGACCTTAATTCTTCCATGCAGTGATTCCCTTTTTATTTATGTATTTAGTTTACTACTTTGTGGTATATAAGATAATTTATTATTTATACCCCGCCCATCTGTCCGGGTTTCCCCAGCCATTCTGGGCGGCTCCCAATCGAATATTAAAAACACAATACAGCATTAAACATTAAAAACTTTCCTAAACAGGGCTGCCTTCAGATGTTTTTTAAAAGTAGGATAGTTGCTTATTTCCTTGACATCTGATGGGAGGGCATTCCACAGGGCAGGCGCCACTACCGAGAAGGCCCTCTGCCTGGTTCCCTGTAACCTCACTTCTCACAGTGAGGGAACCACCAGAAGGCCCTCAGCACTGGATCTCATTTATTAAATGTGTATTTTGGTATGGTTGATTGTATAATTGTCCACTGCTTTGATACATAATGTGAAAAGTGGTGTATAAGTCTTTTAATAAATAAATAAACCATAGAAATAGACATTGCTTATAGATATCGCTTCAGGTGGAACCCAAAACTAACTATTGAAATGAGGAGTGTTCCTATTAAGGCTTCCCGCCAGCCATATCACCTTCCAGGATACTTCATTCAGTTCCATTTCTCCACCACCACCTGTTATTTTTCTTGTAGCAGTCAGCTAGCACTCTGTGGCCGCCGAGCATGCTCAGTTCTCATTTGACTGTTTGGGGGTTCTTCCCTTCCTTGGTTTGCTCTTCTAAAGGTTTTTTGTTCTTCTGCAAACCTTGGGGTTTCCCCAGAATTTCTGTGTTGGTGATGCCATTTTGGCTACGCAAGGATCAACATTTGGAGAATGACTTTGATATTGGTAAGATATAAGCCAATATACATGTCTAGGGCAAAATCATACTCTTTTATCTCACACTTTCTCTAAGGCGTTTGCAGGGGGAGAGATATTTATTTATTCAGTTATGTATTTTTCCGAACCAGTCCTGTGGGTGCTCTGGGTGGTAAACGATAAAGCAATAAAATACAGCAATAAAATGCAACCACTGAAATCTAAACACTGAGCACAGCAAGCAGACACCAGCCTATACAGCTAAATAAAAGCATACAAATATTATTACCAACCCCAGACAGAAAATGTCTTGTGGGCAAAAGAGTTCTCACCAGCTACCTAACATAGCCCAAAAAACTGGCTACTTGGAGCTCCTTAAGAAATTATGATGTTTGCCCCTCCAGGGTTTCTGTAATCTATTCTGACAACTCTATTTGACAGAGTGCTCAGCAGAAATGAGAGGCAAAAGGTTGAAGGGGAGGGGCAGAGGAACAAAAGAAGAGAAAAAACAATGACACAATATTTGTGTCAAGAGTCATCAACTTCAGTGTCCGTATACAAATGAGAGAGTAACCTGTAGTTATTGGGACATAACAGGTGTTTGCTTTGCATCTCAGAACACTTTTCCTTCTAGATGGAGTCAGTTTCTTTCGTTATTTAATGAATGTGTGTGCTGCCCTTCAACCAATTGGTTCCCAGCATAATGAACAATAAAACATTAATATGCAAGCAGGCTCCTCAGGGAGGGGGGGTCCACAAATGACACACCACCCCTCAAAATATCCTCCCTCCAGATGCCACCACTTCATCTTGGAACCTCTTTGGCAGGCCTCAACACATGGGAACCATCTTGTACCACATAGTATAGTATTTAGAGAATCAGGCTGGGTATATTTGTCTAAAAAGGCTTTCTTAGCCTGCTGTTGCTATGGACTGCTCATTTACACATTATTATTTTTTTACTGGCAGTAATGACCAAGATATTTCCTGTGTATTAGTGCCTATGCATCTACAGTTGCTATCTTTAATTACTTATGCTCTGCTGTCATTTGAAAGTCTTGAGATCTCTCTTAGTGGCTGGCCAGACTCATTTGTTATCTGAGGAACTGATGCATGTTCACTAATTGGATGGTATACCATAAGTTCATTTGATAATCAATCAGCACTGAGACAGGAGAGAAATAGCTTTGTTTTTGTTTATTCCTCAGAGTTCCTTGTAAGTCAACATCAAGCACTCTGTAGCTGATTAAAACACACAGGATAACAACATGCAGGCTTTGCCATTTAGTTCTAAATTGAACATGAGATTTTCAGGTGGTGTAAATATGGGCAACACTATCAATTCAGTAGCTAACACATTTTTTTTAGTAACACCAACAAAACTATAATATGATGTACAGTACTTGCCTTACCCCAGTAATGGACGTTAACTTGTAATAGATATTTTCCCAAGGTGAGTACTGGGTGGGTGAGCTATGGGTGCAACAGCAGAGAATATTGCTATGTAACATGAGAGTTCCATGATTGAATTTGTCACTTTTTTTATTACTTTGGCTACAAGTTTTTGAATGACTGGGATAAGGGTACAGAGGGTATCAGTGGTACAGAGCATGTTTTCATGCAGAAGTTCCTAGGTTCAGTCCCTGGCATCTCCTGACTGAAACCAGTCAGTGCAGACCAGGGATGGGAAACCTGTGACCCTCGAGTTGTTGTTGGACTGCATCTCCCATCATCCCTGACCATTGACTGTGCTGGTTTCGGCTGATGGGACTTGGAGTCGAAGAATATTTGGGGTGCCACAGACTTCCTATCGTTGATGTAGACAATACTGAGCTTGATGAACTTGTGGTCTGGTATTGTATAGAACAGCATCCTATGCTCCTAGGTACAGTGGTACCTCGGGTTACATACGCTTCAGGTTACATACGCTTCAGGTTACAGACTCTGCTAACCCAGAAATAGTGCTTCAGGTTAAGAACTTTGCTTCAGGATGAGAACAGAAATCATGCTCCGGCGGCGCAGCAGCAACAGGAGGCCCCATTAGCTAAAGTGGTGCTTCAGGTTAAGAACAGTTTCAGGTTAAGAACGGACCTCCAGAATGAATTAAGTACTTAACCTGAGGTACCACTGTATTCTGAACTGATATAAAGTCCATTTCACACACAAAAAGGGAGGAGGGCTAATTCTTTGCCCCTAATTTCTGTTCCCGTGTAGCTGAGTTCAAGAAAACATGCAGGATTAACAGCTTAAACCCAGAAGGGTTCTCTACCATAACTATAATAGGAGCATTGTATGTGTGTGTTTCAGATTATTCAGTATGTGGGTAGTTGGTTAAGACTCCCTGTGTCATGGTCAAATTCTGACTTAAAAAATAATAATCTACATATGTATGTTCATATGTGGTTTATTTAAGCCCTGAACTGCTGGTGAAATACATAAATCTCCGTAAAACGGTTCAGCACCATGTATTCAGTCAGCTATAAGCAAATGTACGCATAGAATGTGTTACAAAAGAATGTAGGCAGTCATGCTCCCAAACACTATATGCATAAGCAACCTAAGACTTTGTAAATAAAAATGTGTTATCACCTTCTACGTTTTGAAGTCATGCTGTGGGTGGGGTGTGGGGGGGAGAAACTTATTTAATAGCATTCTTCATAGCAAGCTCTCCTTTGCAAAGAACCCGTGCATAATAGATTGCCAAGGTAAATTTCTTTCACAGTCTAATACTCTGCCAAGTTGAAAACAGAAGTGATTGTGTGAGAAAAGGTAACTATTGCCTTCAGAAACTGGAAAGAAGAAAAAGGAAATGCTTTTAAAGATATTCAAGCAAAAAAATATTTCTAAATGGATAGGTAAAAGAAATGAATTTACCTCAGTGATATTTCTTGCCTTCTCTCCTGTAATAAAATACTTAAGCAGCACTTGAATGTAAAAAAATTAAGCAACAATGCACTTTCTATTTGGGTATATTCTTAAGCAATTCTGACTTTCCAACTGCTCTTAAGGGATTTTATTTCAAGCACAGGTTACTGGATACATGAATACTGGATTTTAATTCACCCACAATTTGATCTAAATTCCTTTGAAACAACAGAAACTACTCACTGAACTACAGCTGGCCATGTTGTCACCTCTTAACAAGACTGTGAACTGGAAAAGACCGATAACAGATAAGAGAATGCATAGGCAGGTTGCTGGCAAGCTTGCTGCACAATAGATGGTGCAATGAGTTTCTGCTAACATAACTGTTGTGTTGGATTTCTCTGTTGCACAACATTAAAACTCACCTGTCTGCTTATGCAAGAGCCCTTGCACTAGCAAACAGAATGTTGGATACAGCCCTGTGGCTCCAGAGCTTCTCCTGGAATGTCCCTAGAATGTCTCCTCTTCATGCCTTCCAGCATCAGAGTTCTGATGTTGGAGAGGAACTGGCTATAGATCTTTCAGTACCACCACAGAGGAGTCATCTGACACTCTTATCTTTCTCTCCAAGGGTGGATATCTGTCTCCACCTTTAGTGAGGGAGATCTAATGCATCCAGTGGCTTCTGGGATGCTCCCTCATAATTAGGATTACAGCCTATATATATATATATATATATATATATATATATATATAATTTTTTTAAAAGTAGTGATCCATCCAGAGATGCCAAGGATTAAACCTGGAACCCTCTGCATGGAAAGCTGAGGTTTTAGCACTGAACTACAGCCCTTCCCCAATGATCAGTTTTCCTCTTGGAATTAGGAGATGTAATTTCTGTGGGTTCAAAAGTCTTCCTGAGCTACATAACCAAAGTCCATCACTTCTTATCAACCACAGTATGTCTTGTGAACGTTGCCTTTTTCATATACCGTATGCAGTTCCCAGGCTAAAATAAAAATTAGCATTTTTTTTACTTACAAGGAAAATATTGTTTCTCTATTTTAAAATATTCACTAGTTTTAACCCAAGGGAGAAAATGGGTGAACTTTTACTTATGTACCAGAAATAGTGACAGTCATGTAAGTGATAACTAAGGGGGGAGTCAGAGACATGCCCACAGGATGTAGGATTCGGTCTGATGTGACATCTTTCCCCATTAGCCCTGAGACAAATAGCTGCCTTTTGCCCTTTCTCCTTGGCACCAAAGCACGTTTGTTTCAAAATCCCTCAGTTTAACTTAATGCTCATCTGTGCTCTTATCTGGGAAAAGGCTACTTGTGTAAATAATTTCCCAGTTTTATTTTTTGCCTCTTACTCTTTTCTGTTCATCTGCTCCACAAAGCAAATAGGATTGACACCCCATGTTCATAAGATATTGAATTAGCTTGGCACAAAAAGATGTAGTATTCTAACACTTTTTAAAAAGCTACAAAGTGGGAGGTCAGGTCTGATTTTATTTTCTTTCTTCCCCCCCCCCTTTTTTGAACACTGGCATAGTTCTGTTCAACCATTCCCCAAGTTTAAAATGCAATGAAGGCAACAAAGTTTGGTACGGATTTTTCTTTTTTTCCCCTCTTCTCTAGAGGGTCCTGCCAGAGTAATATTAAACCGCTGGCACCAAGCAGTATTCACATAATGCTTGAACAGGCAAACCTTTGTGGTCTTGGCACCAAACCTGCTGGAAGTTTAAGAACTCCGCATGACCCCCTCAATCAATCAAAGCAGACAGGGTATCAAGAAACACTAAAATTACAAGCTGTAAATATCACATGTGTGATCTCATGGAGCTGTCCCTCAGATATTCTCTGTGTATTAAGCTCTGCCTTGCTATAGAAACGCTTCCAAGCAACATTTCATTGGGCCAGTCAGAAACCAAGCCACACCTCTCCAGTTGAGCCAATGATATCCTTTCAGTCAGCTGCTTGGTGTTTCTGCCAGTCTGCAGCATCTGTCATTTTCCACCGTCTGGGACACTCTTTGTCTGAGCCAGATTATGATTTTATTTGCAGTCTGCAGCATGACTACCATGGTCAGGAACTTACCATCTTAAATACGAGATAAGTGAAGAACAATAAGTATCCCACTCAGTGCACTCACAGCAGTCTGTAATTAGTGCTGATAGTTTCTTTTTCGGGCAGATATACAAAACGGAGCGTGCCTAATAAGTGATGAAAAGTAAGAGCTGAGAAAATCCAATTTGAAATCTGATTGCCTTAGCTTAAAAAATGCTTTAATGCTCTTATTGGTCATTATAGAGGGCAGGCTGGCATGGTTTAAGCACAGAAAACATGCATCTGTGACTGTATATTTTATACCAAACTCTTATGCCTAAATGAAAATAAAAATTACTGGATTTATCAAGTACGTGGGACTAAATTTTGCAATCTTATATTTAATAATATGTCAATAACCATCTGTTGCCTGCACCTAGTCCTCCCTGATGTAATGCTATTGCATGTTTTGTGTACATCCTAACTGTTGGGTGTGGACTTATTTTCATTTTCAATCTGCCATGGATTTTTTTGCATTTGTACTTGTATGAAGTTTACATTTTATACAAGCAGAGCAGAACCCATTCATTACATACCCCTCAGATATCAGAGATGAAATATTCGCAAAGTCTGAGTTTCACACTAGTAAGTTGAAAGATTGCTTGTGGATATAGGGACAAAGTGTTTGAAAGATGGCCTAGTTTCTATGAAATTATAATCAGTGTGTGACTATTTAGATGTGATTTTTTTTTAAAAAATCTACATTGTTTGTGACTCTTCCTAATCAGTTATGAAGATGTACAGTGGTACCTCGGGTTACATACACTTCAGGTTACATACGCTTCAGGTTACAGACTCCGCTAACCCAGAAATAGTGGTTCAGGTTAAGAACTTTACTTCAGGATGAGAACAGAAATTGTGCTCCAGTGGTGCGGCGGCAGCGGGAGACCCCATTAGCTAAAGTGGTGCTTCAGGTTAAGAACAGTTTCAGTTTAAGAATGGACCTCTGGAACAAATTAAGTACTTAACCCGAGGTACCACTGCAATGAAATTTAATCAAACAAAAACCGTCATTTGTTATCAGCTTGACTTAGAGTAAAACCCCATACAGTGCCCAGGAACAGGGGAGGTGGTGGAGAGGTGGAGGCATGAGGATATGGGAATTGGAAAGGGCCTGGGGTGCTTAACTGAAAGCTGGATCAAGAAAGCAGCAGGAAGCTGAGGAACAAGCTATACAAGCCTGAAGAACAAGACGACTTGCTGTTGGCAGAGACTAAAACTCATATACCAATATAAAATAACTAGCTAAATATTTGGCTGTAATCTATCTATTTGGTTGCACTTTTGTTCTTCTGGTCTAGCCCAGATTATCCTTATTCTTATATATTTGTATCTTGGGGTATGAGCTGAAGGCACATGAGGTTGCCATTTTGCTGATGCTAAGCAAGACTAGTTTGGGTCAATGCCTGGATGGGTGCCCATATGGAAACCATAAACCATATGTGCACTACCCTGTGTAGAAGAAGGGGGGATATAAATGTAAAAAAGGAAGAAAAAAAGAAATAGGTAAATGTCTCATAATTAAGGCCTCAGTAGTCGTCACAGTAACTTTCACATGTTGGCATTTGTATTTGAGTTTTTGAATTAATGTGGAAGTGAAAGTGGTAGAGTCCCTAAAAGACAGAGTGTTCTCATTTTTTGAGATGAAACACCCCAATATTCTGGAGCTGATCTTTTTAAAAAAATCTATTTATTCATAAGAACTCTTTATATGGCTGTTCTATAGTAGAAGTTATTTGGGTGACTGAGGCCCCATCTGTGCTATACTTTTAAAGCAGAATTATACTACAGTACTTTAAACAGTCATGGCTCCCACTCCGCCCGAATCCTGGGAACTATAGTTTAAGGGTGCTGAGTGTTGTTAGGTGATCCCTGTTCCCCTCAGAGAGCTACAGTTTGCAGAAAAGGGGATTGCTTTTGTTAAACCACTCTTGGAATTGTAGCTCTAAGAATGTGTGGGCTGTTGCTGCATGTTGTCTGAACCTGAATTTTTGGTTTAGCGCTCTCCAGACACCTCATGGCTCAGCACTGCAACAACAACAACAACAACAACAAAAACAGAGGAGAAGCAAAGCAGCTTCAATCTCCTTTCCAGAAGCCCACACATTTTCTCTTTCACACTAAGCCATGGTGTTGCATGTGACTAAGGGCATTTGGAGCAGGAACCGGCACCTAAGGGCACCTGGAGCAGGAACTGGCAAGCCACTCCAGTATCCCTGCCAAGAAAACTCCATGGACAAAGAGAATGTCTCCTGAGAAATCTCTATGTGGGACAAGAAGCTACAGTTAGAACTGGATATGGAACAACTGACTGGTTCAAAATTGGGAAAGGAGTACGGCAAGGCTGTATATTGTTTCCCTGCTTATTTAACTTATATGCAGAATTCATCATGCAAAAGGCTGGGCTTGATGAATCCCAAGCCGGAATTAAAATCGCTGGAAGAAATATCAACAACCTCAGATATGCAGATGATACAACCTTGATGGCAGAAAGTGAGGAGGAATTAAAGAACCTTTTAATGAGGGTGAAAGAGGAGAGTGCAAAATATGGTCTGAAGCTCAACATCAAAAAAACGAAGATCATGGCCACTGGTCCCATCACCTCCTGGCAAATAGAAGGGGAAGAAATGGAGGCAGTGAGAGATTTTACTTTCATGGGCTCCCTGATCACTGCAGATGGCGACAGCAGTCACGAAATTAAAAGACGCCTGCTCCTTGGGAGAAAGGCGATGGCAAACCTAGACACCATCTTAAAAAGCAGAGACATCACCTTGCCAACAAAGGTCCATATAGTTAAAGCTATGGTTTTCCCAGTAGTGATGTATGGAAGTGAGAGCTGGACCATAAAGAAGGCTGATCGCCGAAGAATTGATGCTTTTGAATTATGGTGCTGGAGGAGACTCTTGAGAGTCCCATGGACTGCAAGAAGATCAAACGTATTCTTAAGGAAATCAGCCCTGAGTGCTCACTGGAAGGACAGATCCTGAAGCTGAGGCTCCAGTACTTTGGCCACCTCATGAGAAGAGAAGACTTCCTGGAAAAGACCCTGATGTTGGGAAAGATTGAGGGCACAAGAAGAAGGGGACGACAGAGGACAAGATGGTTGGACAGTGTTCTCGAAGCTACAAACATGAGTCTGACCAAACTGCGGGAGGCAGTGGAAGACAGGAGTGCCTGGTGTGCTCTGGTCCATGGCGTCACGAAGAGTCGGACACGACTAAACGACTAAACAACAACAACAACAAGGGCATTTGAGACAAACAAACAAAAATGCAGCGAAACTGGTAACAAAGAGGATGGAGTTTACAGGCATGCATTATGTAAAGCATTCAGTGAAAATTTTGTTTGGATGGTCATGGTCTCTTGGAATAACCCGTCAGAAACCGCTGACTGTTTAACCCAGCAGCTTTTCTTACTCTATTAATGTTTCCTTATCTTTTGTCGGTTCCATGAGTTGTTGACCATAGTGTTATTTTTCTACAAAGGTAAGAAGGATCTTACACTTTGATCTGAAAAGCGTCTCAGTATGATCTCCTTTATCAAGGAGTTCCTCTGCTAGTAATCCCCAGAATTCATCTGGAGGATTGCCACTAAGTTTGATAAATCTCTGGAAGGCCAGGTAATTTTCCTATCTCATATACTGTGTGCTACTTCTGGGTCTGATTCTGACCTTGCCAGAAAACCCAGATGGCCTATGAAATGGAGAAAATATCATAGTAGTAACTCTCTAATAGTTTCT